TTAACACTGTTTCATGTTGCTGTGTTGCTTCATAATAATAATCTTTAATATCCACAAAATAGTCTATGTCTGCCTTGTTCATGCTGAACATTAATATACAATCAACAAATATTTGTGGAATGAACAATACAATGAATGGGAGCTCCTGAAGGATAGAGCTAGCATCCTGTGGACATCATAAGCTGTGCTTGAAGTCAGAGTTATAGGTCAAAGGGCAAGGGTCAGTGCCATACCTTACAACGGGATGCAGGGCAGTTTGGAGGCTGACTTTCATGTCCAGCGGGTAGGCGCATTGGAAGCTGATGTTGAGGATGGTGTCTCTGATGATGAAATCGTTGAACACAGAGAGAGTGTTTTTGTAGATGGCATGGGTTTCATTTCTCTTTGGCATGAAAACAAGACCACATATATGTTTATGTGGACAGGGGTGAAGGTGTATCTGGAACTCAGGTCTGTGTGACTCCACAGTGGATGCTCTCAACCATGCTGTCACCCTGCCTTCTGATCTCAAGAAGGCAAAATGGGCCTCTGCCCTCAGTGGCACCGGCACTTTATGGGAAGGGAGTGAGGAACCCACATCAAAAACTAGAACAATCAGTTGTTGACCCTTGAGATGAGTCAGGAGCCACCACACTTGCTCCTCTGTGAGCCCCTCCCACATCATCCCTATTTTAAAAATTTATAATCACAGCTTACATTTGCTGAGTTCAAGTATCAGACCTGTTCTAAGCTCTTTACATGGACCAACATGTGTAATCTCGCATACCCCCAGAGGCCCAGAGAGGCTAAATGACTTGACCAAAGTCTTGCAGCTACTGAGACAGCCCCCAACGGCCCAACTCCCACCCTCTGGCAGCAGTGGTATAAAAACCCACTCACCTCCAGAATGTTTCCACAGGCACCAGCCTCGGTAGGGCTGGTCACGGACAGCCAGTTCCTCTCCTCTCCTGGCACGATGCTGCTGCAGCTCCGGTCCTGCAGGTAGGCTCTGACCTCGTCCCCAAAACCCAGGCCTTCCAGCAGACACTTGTCCAGTGACACCTTGATCTCCCTGGCCCCACAGTCCAGCTGCGGCTGCAAACTGTGGACGTCTGGAAAGTGGAGAGGGAAGCAGGTGCAGTGGATAGGAGTCTGGAAGCAGTGGGCAGAGTCCACACTCTCTACCCTTTGGAAAAGCCACCATGCCCACCAGGAGGTTGGGTAGACTAGAATGGGCCTGGGATCCAGGTGGGATTCATGCCTGGGCTTGTGGTAGGCGAGGTTGGCAAAGAAGCCCCCAGTCCAAGATTTCCAAGCAGCCTATGTGTAGGTTTGGCGAGGGCTTTCGTGTCTAGTTCCCCTTGGGGATTGGGGTCTCTGGGGAAGCAGGACTGCCCTGCATTCCAGACTAGAATCAAAGCTAGCTACACACTACTCCCACTTCTGGCTTTGTGAAGCCAGCACATCTGACCAGGTTCAGAGACATTGTATTCATTCATTCATTCATTCA